TTAAACGCAACTTACCAACTATAGCTAGGGGAATTAGATTCTAGGCAACCGTCTCATCACTTTAGTAGTAACTTATGGTTCTCTTGAATACGACCAAACCACTTTACTACAACTCTAACTAGGTTATACTTGCCTTAGTTAGAATTGAATAGAGAGTTTACATTGAGTCATAAATTTAAAGCTCGATCACGCAAAGCGCGATAAGTCATGTCACGTTGTCGAAAGTCGTTTGCTTGGGAAAGTGTTGATTGTTTATTTCCTTGGGTGGTTCCCATGTTTTGTGCAGCTGCTGATGGGGTATTTGCATCGCAGCTTGCTGTTTCTTTTCTTTTGTTTTAACTTTACTCTCTTTGTAATCGTTAATTTATTTCACCATTAAAAAAATCAAGAATTCTGGAGTACATTTACAATTTATATCCCAGTCCAATCCAAATTTTGCTATGACGCTCACACGGTGAGATGAGCACCTAGGAAAGTGTCTAGCTCGGATTGAAGATCGAAAATGTCTAGCTCGGATTGTAACAGAACCTGTTGACACTGCTCTCCTTCAACTGCTACCATAACCATCTTTTGCATCTTGGGCTTGCACGGGTTTATGACATTCGAGGGTTATTTGGAAGTGTTCCCAACTCGAAAAATTGTAGGATCAGGTCCTTAAGGCCTTTTTCTTAAGGAAGATCTTAAACTCCTTTCAACCAATAGGGGAAGGAGAGAGAAAGTGATTAATAATAATTGGGTAATTACCTACCTAATACGTTAAAGGGTAAGACAAGAATATAGAAAATATTTAAATGACATATACATATACATATATGTAACCCCATATACTTCATGAAAGTTCAAACATCTAGTCTCTAGGCAACTCCAATAATAACCATCATCGCTACTATACTAATAATGCATTCCAATCGATGCTCCAGGGCTCTCACCCTCTCTGGCACCCCTTTCCAAGGGACTTGGGCCCGGTGTATAATTAATTAAAATCAAAATGGGAGAAGTCACGTATACATTGAATTATTGTGGGTTTCGAGAATCAGTCTCCTCCCAACCCTAAAACCGTTCATCCTACAGAATTCGCCGTCATGTCGCGCAGCCGGCCTGGCGCATGATTTTCACCGTTTGGTCTCGCTGAACCACAGTTGCGTCCACCGTCGCGTCCACCGTTCCGTCCAACGTCCACCATCGCGTCGGCGTTTCCGCCGTTTGGTGACCCCCTCGTTTCCGTCTACTGTTGCGCCTCGTCCCTCTTGTTTGTCGTCGTCGTCTCTCTCGGCTGTCGTTGCTAGACTACCGATTACATGGAATCGCCAAGACCCTTTATGTTTGGTAAGTTGTACTTCGTTTGGCTAATGTATATTTGGTTGCGTTGTTTGACGAGTTGTTATAATATCTCGGGAAGGGTTGTTTAATAAAACAGGCAATAGTTGTTAACAATTTAAATTAATAACTCGATCGGGTTAATTAATAATCTTTGCCTTGGTTGTTAATAACTATGGTGTTTAAGTTAATAATGAACTTTGCATGTAAACCTTCAATGTCGTTTTAGATTATTAATTAAAAAAGTCATGCGTAATAAGGACCAAATTTTTTATTAATAATTGAAGGTGTTAATAAGGAAAGGTCATTACTCGAAGAGAGATGATTAATAATTCCTAAGTTAGATGTTAATAATTAAAGTGTTTAAGTTAATAATAAACTTTGCATGTAGAATTTCATTGTCATTTTAGGTTAATAATCGAAGAAGGAAAGATTAGTAATGATGTGGATGGTTGTTAATAATTAAAGTGTGAGAGTTAATAATGAACTTTGCATGTAAACCTTCAATATCGTTTTAGAATATTAATTAAAAAAAGAGAGTATTAATAAAGGCGGAATTTTTTGTTAATAATTGAATGTTTTAATAAGTAGAGGTCAGTACTCGGAGAGGGATGATTAAGAATTCACGCGTTAGTTGTTAATAATTAAAGTGTTTTTGGTCAATAATAAACTTTGCATGTAAAATTTCATTGTCATTTTAGGTTAATAATCGAAGAAGGGAAGATTAGTAATGATGTGGATAGTTGTTAATAATTAAAGGTAATAGTTTTTTTTATTTCTTCAACGCTGCAGATCTGAATGAAGTACCCTGTGATGTCAGCTTGGAAGGTGAAGATATTCCCAAGAACAATGACTTACGTGAAGAGGAGATTACAGTAGAAAATGTATATGTAGAAGGTGAAGGTGACTCCCTCGTCCGTAGTCCGGCCGTCCTCTCCGCCGCAACCGCTGTCAATGCTTTTGTGGTTCACTAGCATCCAGTTTCCCGACGAATCCTTTATTCTGGCCGCACCAATACTCTGGTCATGAACAACGTCTTTTGGTTGACCATTCGGCGCAAACATGGAACGTGCAATTCCTTTTGAGTTTGTTGTGAAAGCTTTTTATGTTGTTTGGGTTGTATTTATTGTTGAAAGGTTGATTGTTCTCGTTGGCATTGCTTCTCATTGATATTGTTTTTATGTTAATAGTGTAAATAGAAATGTTGATAAAAGATGAAAAAATGTTGATATGTACTGGTGATGTCGTTGTACAAGTTAATATTTTCAATAATATTATTAATAATTGTCTCGTGGCCGGTTAGTAAGGGGTAATAAGATATTTTGATAACGATGTTAATATTATTGAAAAATATAACTTGAGTGTTTTAATTATGTTTGTCAAACGTTTTTTATGGATCAATTTGGTTGATAATGATTTTAATAATGTTGTTTAGAAATGTTAATAAGGGATGACAAAATTGATTTTTACTGGTGATCGTGTTGTCATAGCGATGACGTTACCGATTAATAATTGCAATAATACAATTGATAATAGTCGCCCAGTCGGTTAATAATGTCCAATAATATGGGTTGATAACGTGGTGTATTATTGTTAAAACTGTACCTTTTATTTTTTAATAACAATATCGAAATATTGATATTACCGGTTAATAAGATGTTTTCATAACGTTGTTCAATATTAATAAAAAATGTAACTTGAGTGTGTTAATAATTGCAATAATATAATTAATAATAGTTGCATGGTCGGTTAATAATGTACAATAATATGGGTTGATAATGTGGTTTGTTCTTGTTAAAACTGTAACTTTTATTTGTTAATAATAGCTGCCGTCGCCTAATTCCCTTCTCCCAGGCCCCAGCCGTTCCACTTCTCTCCATAAATCGATCGACACCTCAGCTTCAGCCGCAGCGAGAAGCAGCTTCGGCTTCCCTTCATCGACAGCCGAGAAGCGTGTAGCTTGCCGGCGTCCCCAACGTTGCGGCGAGCAGCAGCCTCACCTTCCCTTCGTTGACGACTGAGAAGCATGCAACGTTATGTCATTATTAACATTTTTTGCTATTAACTATTATTTCATTATTAACGTTATTATTGTCCACATTATTAACCGTTGTGTGGTAGCAGCATTATCAATGTCTTTTTAGGGAGCTATCATTGTTTTCGAATAGAGTTATCAACAATTTGTTATAACATTATTAACCATTAGGTCCCATCATTATCACTGATTTTCTTTACATTTTCTACACAACACATATATGTTATTAGTTGCTTATATTATGTTTGTCAAACGTTTTTTATGGCGATTTGGTTTTTTTGTAGGTTAATGACATGACACAAACTAAGAATACGTCACTTAAGACGGTTCCTCCTATAAACCGACCTAAGAGCGTGAGCAATAGAAGCAAAGATCAATAATGATGATAGGCTGAGTCTCATGTGTAGTATGTCCCTAGTGTTGAAGATGGTAAAAAATATTAGTCCCCAACGTGCTATGTGGGGTACATCCACAAGTAACGTATTATTTGTTGGTTGATAATGTAGAGAATTCGAAAAGCCACTCTATGTATATATGCGAGTTTTGTAATGTTTGTTACTTTCTAATGATCGTGATTGGCTCTTTAAAAAAAATCATGTGAGTTAATCATATTTCCATAACTTAAACCCATATTATTAAAAATTCAGACTTCATTATTAATATTTTTTAGGGCAGTTGTTAATTATAAATTTACCCATAATAACGGTTGGATAGAGGCTTCATTCTTAACGACTTTCACCCCAACTATCAACGGAAACTAATCATTAGTAACATCTCTATTATTGGTACTTTTCGATATTAAGAATAAAGAGAACACTGCCATGATGAGTGATACTATTGTTCCAACCACAGGAAAAACATTTTCCAACTACATGTTAACAATCCAAGATAACGTTATCAACTTTTATAATATGATTAATCAACGATATACAATAATATTACCACCATTTTCCCACGTTAATAATGAACATTGACAAGATTGACAAACATATAATGTAAGGTTCATAATCTCCCACAAAAACGTTAGTAATTGAAACAATGTTTGTTAATAATAATGTTATTGATTGCAATCATAAGTCAAACAAAAATATAATAATTAAACATTAATGATTACATATTAAAATATTAACAACAAATGTTTCGTCAATCATGACATACTAGAACATTGTCAATAGAGTAAAAACATTGATACATATAATGTTAACAAAATCTTCAAAATTATGACTACTTTCACATTATAACGTTGATAATGACAACCACTCACTATTTACACCAAATTAGCTATGTCAATATTCCTTTTCTTGGCCAAAAAAGAAAATAGTATTGTTTTATGATTTATTTCAATATTTTATATATCATTATTAACAAATAAAAGAACAAACCACATTATCAACCCATATTATTGTACATTATTAACCGACCATGCAACTATTATTAATTATATTATTGCAATTATTAACACACTCAAGTTACATTTTTTATTAATATTGAACAACGTTATGAAAACATCTTATTAACCGGTAATATCAATATTTTCGAAGGTGAGGCTGCTGCTCGCCGCAACGTTGGGGACGCCGGAAAGCTACACACTTCTCGGCTGTCGATGAAGGGAAGCCGAAGCTGCTTCTCGCTGCGGCTGAAGCTTAGGCGTCGATCGATTTATGGAGAGAAGTGGAACGGCTGGGGCCTGGGAGAAGGGAATTAGGCGACGGCAGCTTGGAACGGCCGGCGACTGCAGCGGACAAGGAGGACGGAGAACGTTTGTTTGACGACAATAGAAACGGTTCGGCTGCAGATCATGGAAAAAAATAAAATAAGGATTTATAGACGGTTAGGGTTACGTTTTTAATTTATTTACAATTCCCTAAATACCCTTAACAATTAATTAACTAATAACTTCTCCTTAACTACCTAAAATTGAATCACCCAATCACAACGCTTTAAGTTTCTCCTTGAGAAAAAGGCTTTAAGGACCTGAACTCAGGCTTGCGTATCAAGGCAACCAAATTCTCTTTACCTTATTTCCCGGCTTGATTCACATACTTCACCTGATTTACTTTAAACTCTCTGCCTATTAAACCATGGAATAAAGGCATGTTAGCCATCTCTAGAAAAAGAGAAACGCGACACTGCAAGCGGCAGCATAATTTTGTACATTTGGATAGTACCTTAAAACTCAGCAGCTTCTCTCTTCCTACATCACCTACTAACTAATCCGAACAAGATAAAGGGGTTTGGCCGGCAGACTCGGCCACCTATTGATAGTCAATCCCAACTGAAAAGTTTCCAATCTAATAACCTCAATCACATACAAATTCTGCATTAGGAGCAAAGGGCAGAGACTGAAAAGAAGGAACAGATTAGTGAAGGAAGCAGTCAGGCGTAGCATATCCCAGCAGCCAGGCACTCCCCAGTCATACGGTCGAATCTCTCTCTATCCCCACCCTGAAGTTGCCAATTTACAGTTCCAAGTGGTCCGTACCCGATGTAGTTAGAAAACAGTTGAATCTTTATCCGATCCTGAAAAATAGATTTTGCTTCAGCATTGCGCACCACTATCAACAGCTACTCCAAGCCAATCTGCAACCAATATCAAACAGCTGTGCAATGGAACCAAGACACAAGCTCGAAAACTTTAGAACTGTCTCTATTCTCTAACTCGATGGGCTAAACTCTGACTACGATAACAAGCTATGACAAGACTTGGCTTGTGAGCATGTTGGGACTTTGCCCAATCCACCTTGCAACTCTTAGATGATTAAGCATCTTGTCTACACTAAATAAGTAAATATGTGGACATAGGCACTAGATGAGACACTGGCAGCCTACTAATAAATCTGATGAGATTATGTGTTTGTTTCAATATAGCAGCACTTTAAGTGTTCGAATGTAGAATAACTGCATCGTCAACACTGAGATTCAAACCTTGGTTTAAGGAAAAGGCAGCTGGAGTAGTAGTAGCAGAAGTCTCTTTTGGAATATCAACAGCGGAGTTCGGTGTATCACTCATCATATCAGCATTCAAATTCCGAGTGACTGCTGGTTCTAGGTTTTCACTACTCTGCAGACCATCAAAATCCATGAGCACGAATCTGTTGGTCAAATTTTGCATCAGAAGTTTAACAACAAGCATGCAACGACTCATTCCTTCAAGAGCTGCACACACATGCAAGCGTCTGACTGGAGACACCATCTTGTTCGAGGAAAGAATAGAAATTAACTTCAAACTCAGCAATTTCACCTCTTATCCTCTGGAGCTTGAAATTCTCCCTATACTAAACACTAACAAGAAACATGCACACCATTAAATTCTCGATCTCTAATACGCACAGTTGGTCAGACCTATCAACTTCTGCATATATCAACGCAAGCTTTTGATCATACTCTATGAATGGAACAAATTAACACACAATACAAATATTCCACACCTCTTGGCATTGAGCGACATCTGAAGAAGCTAGACTTTTCTCACTAGCAGTGGCTGTAGCTTCCGCCCCAGGATCTTGCAATGTGGCCTCCTTGTGAGTACCATCAGCTTCAAACCGATCAATTGCATCCTGGCTAGTGGTTCTAGATGCCTTTGATTTACTGACATGAGAGCCATTCAACTCCACGCCACCACTTTCATCCGCTGATCTCTTCCTAGAATTGGCATACAACAAAGAATAAACATTGATAAAAGCAAATCAGTCACAATCATCAACAACTGACCCAGGAAAAAAAAAAAAAAAGAATATGAGCATGATGTTACCTGCTATCGTAATGGTAACCTGCATGAGATGGTTGTTTGTTGGAAAATAGGATCCCCCGCAAAGGTTTACCATCTATAATGGTTTCAATAGTATATCCATGTGGGAAGGTTTCGGTCACTTTGGCTTGGAAAGTTTTCTTTCCCTGATGAATGTTGAATTGGACAGTCCCCATGGCTGCAAAAGGTTCCCTCAAACTTTTAGGGGCTTATGTTTCTTTTCCAGATGAGATTCAGACAAACACTACCGGTTATGCATGGCTAGGATGTCAATGCCCAACAGACTGACGCCCATCTCCTAACCATGCAGCAGAGATGTTTAACCACATTAAGCATTATCTTAACTAGCATGAAGCCCATCCCCTAAGCCTTATGCAACGAAGAAGATAAAATAGAATTGTAGTGCCCAAAGTAGAAACCAAACATCCTCAAAATGTTATCGCTTTACCCCTGCGTCAGTAAAACACAGTATTACCTAAAACCAATACCAAAAGAAAAGGTAACCTATGCCTACTTTTAAATGCCTAAGAGAAAAGAAACCCATATCAGCAAACAAAAGAGATGAAAACTAATTGGTCGGAGTGGAATACTGCAAAAATTGAACAATCATTGATAGAAGTGCTATGAAGGTGGCATGTACACTGTAAGCAAAGACATTCAGGATTTAGATAACAACATAAGTCCATCCTTCAAAACAGCAAAATCTAATATCCACCCACAAAATATTCAAATCAGGGGTCAATACAATAGGAAAGAGTCTATTTAAGGCTCTGATACATCCATGCAGGAAGAACTACAGCACATTCCTAACATATAGAAAGAGTAGACCAGTGGAAAATCCAACTGAACACTTGACAAAAATGGTAAAACAGTAAGTGAGCGTCTATAGCAACAGAAGAAAACTTCTATAGCTGTGAACAGACTATTCAACAAAGACACCTGATTGGCAAGCACGTCATGACACGGTTAAGTTTTAAAAAGTAACGTTCAATGCAAATAAGGTTGGTGTCAATAAAGGAAATCCAACATCTCTTGTGATGCATCCAATGCTGATAAAGAAGAGTGCTCTGGTAGACAGAATTGCAATCACAGTCATCTGACCAATACTGACACCTCAATGCACAGCTACATCCTAATAGTAAATTGAAAAATCCCTAGAGCACCAGCACATTTAGTATATGAATCTACTAAAGATGAATTTGAGCATATCATCACTGATACCACTCCCTGTACTTTATGTACCGAGTATGCCAGCCACAGCCATGTCTAACTTACAGACTACAGTAACTCAAAAGGAGAAGTGGTACTACCATGCACATCATAAGTTGGTATGCTACGGTGGAAACTAGCTGTTGGATCAACTCCGACCAGAGATCTATCTGGATTGAGACTTTGTTCATGGCATTTTAGTTTCAGTTGCTTCCGCAAGGATAACTTTTCTACTTGCCGCTCATCTTGCATGTTTGTCAGTCCTATGATTGGATGAATGAATGAGACAACAAGAAAAAGAATGAGTGTCAATACTAGAGAAATAATTCATTCTGGAGATCCTAATAAAGAAACAAAATTAATTTTAAATATTGTGCTAGACAACAGAAGCAGTTCCAAGCAAAATAAATTGTTTGAAAGATAATGGACCTGTATGTAAGTAAAACATGTCATCCAGTGCCTCAAGATGCTTATTGCAACCGCCAATCAGCACAAGCATACCACCCTTCATAGGATCCAAACTGTCACCAGCTGCAGAAAATCTTGCACAAGGTCCATCACCTATAGCCATTACCTTTGTCCACATGCCAGACTCTGCATTAACAACAGCTCAATTACGCTTAAATAAATAAAGAAAAAAAATAGCAGAAATGGGTATATCACAAGGCCAGCTCACATGTAAAACCTAAGCAACCAGATTAGATCATGGAGAATTGAACTTTCCAAAAAAAAAAAAAAAAAAGATCAGTTGAACCTTTGGCACAGTGTTCTTGAAAGTAAATGTATCTGCAAGTGGAAACCCAAGCACTAAAGCACTGCCTAACTTTTTACATCTTTTTAGCTAATCTGTATCTTGTGCCTACAATGTACTTGAACTTCCCAGCATAGTGAGTCTGATGTTGCTTTTTATCATCTGGCTAAGTCTTGAGTAAAGACCTACAATATTGTAACTGCCTACTGTTACATAAAGCAGGACAACCTACTAATTCAGCGGCCATGCCCTAAATAATGCTTCCCCCTTCTCTGCCTAGGTCTTTTTTTTTTCTTTGGTCAGAAAATAAAGCTTAATTTTAAGGGGCAACTGGGATGAGTTTGCCCCTCCTCTTTCCAGGCTTATTTTTCTTCCCGCGCGGGGGGAGATGGGGAAGGCAAAAGCCTTGTGCACAATATCATTTGACATACCAAGATCGAGCATGTATGTGTCATCGTATAGATTTTGAGAATCTGCAAATCCCCCAAAAACAAACAGGTTCTTGCCAAAAGCAATGGTGGAATGTCCCGCTCGAGGTGGCAGCTTCTGACCTGCAGTACTCAGCTCCTTCCAGACAAGGGTTTCTAAAAGGTAAAAGGAATATACATGTTAAGAAAGGAACAAATGAAGAAGTGCATCTTGAAGATAAAAGCTAGTCATTAAATGAGTTCACAGCTCTAGACACGGTTACTCATATATATATATATATATATATATATGGTGGCGTATTCGGTGCACCCACTTTTTCGGGTGCACTGAGTGCACCCGCCTCATAATTGTCATTCTAACCATGCGATTCATGTCAAAACGGTATCAATTGTTGCTTATGATATTATGAACAAGAAGCACATGAATTTGAAAAAAATTCATTCAAAATTTACTTTCATTTGAAGGATTTAGAATTTAGGGATTTAGGGTTAGAGTTTAGGTTTACAATTTGGGATTTTGGGTTGGGATTCAAAATTGAAGGTTAAGGGGTTAGGGTAATGGATTGATTTGTTATGATTCTATGTCATATCATCATATTATATTGAGAGTACTAATTAAAGTTCAAAATTTGATGTATTATGGACGCTTTTAAAGTTGGGTGCACTGAGTGCACCCAAAAAAGTGAGTGCACCGAAGTAGCCACCTAATATATATTACATTAGAACATAATAATCAAATCAACCTGTATCCAACATGTGCACATCAGATAAATAGTAATCATGCCCATCTTCACCACCAATGACGATGACATAGTTTCTCCATGATGAGCAAGTATGACTGTCTCGGGCAGAAGGTGGGGAGCCTGAAGTTGTTGCACGCTTCCACATAAACGTCTCTACAAAATCCAGGAACCAATTAACTTTTGTTAAATGTAACCCAAACCATGACCTAAAAGAATAGGAACAACAGAGCAATTAGCCATAAGGTAAAGCTGGGAGTGAAAGACATAAAGTAAACAAATTGCAGCCAAACTTCGAGACTCAAATGGATGAATAAGCATAAAACAAATATTATCAATTAGCTCTATAGAGACCAATTATCATCCTAGATCAAAGCCGAAATTTTTTGGAATGTAAGCCCCTGTATAAATGGTACCTGTATTCAAAATGTACAGATCATCATAATATACTTCATTATTAGTTTCTGAAGACTGTCCACAACCACCGAATATGAAGATGCGTTTACCAACAAGAGCAGCACTATGCCCTTCCCGAGCCTCTGGTCCATCGCCTCTTGTAGTAGGAGATATCCATGTGTGTGTTGCTGAAATTTAATAGAAAACAGAAAGGGAAACTGTGACCAGATAAGTCAACCAAAGGTTTGCCATTATAAAAAAGAAGTCGTAACAAATGTAAGGAAAAACTAATTTAACAGCAGCTGGTATAGATCATCAAATCCAGTGAAGCTTGCTAATTATTCCTATATCATACTGCATAAAATGCAACACGTGGCTGTAGATACAAGAACACAATGCTGGACATAGAATCGGAATCCAAGTAAAAGATTGGGGAACAGAAAGTTCAACTTGAACCACTCACAAGTGTCTAATATATGCAAATCCCTGAGTGGATTCATCCCATCAGTACCGCCAAATACATATAAATTATCTCCAACAGTTGTGCAAGTATGGCTGTCCCTCGGAATCGGTGGTGTACCCTTTACTGCAGGCCGACTCCAACTTTGAGTAGCTGCACGTTTAGGACCCAAGATTAAAGCACAAGTAAACTTCAACCCAGTGAGGTAAGTGGCAAAAGGCCACCAACTAGGGAACTCCGTTTTACTTTTAGAGCAACAATAGATTCAAGAAGTCAAATCCATACAATAAAAAATAACTATGAGATATCAAAAGCAGAGGATAATTAGGAAGCAGAAATGTAATCATCACTCTTAAGCACAAACCCGGTCATAAATGCAACAAATTAGTACTAAGCAAGGCACCAAACCAGACACTATAAGGCAGAGAAAAGTAATTAATAAAGCCGCTCAATAGTCATAACAAAATCACGAAACAGAAACTTATCAATCTCTTCGCCGAAATGACGACAAAAGCCACAGAGCAAAATTCAATGACACTGCAAGAACAACATGCAAAATTAAGAACCCTAGCGAAAAACCACAACTCTGCAAAGGATCTGAAGCGAAAGTAAAAAAAGAGTGAACAGCACAACAAAAGGATTAGGGTTTTTCTTTTCTTCTTTTTCGCGCACCTCGTCCATTCAAATTCACAACAGAACCCAAAACAAGAAGAGTCGCAGCAAAAGAGCAGAGGAATCAGAAGATATATAAAAATAAAAAAAGTTACAGAGAGAGTTACATAGAGGCGGAAAGCGAACCCACCAGTATCGAACACATGAACTTGGTTGGTGTGGCAATTCTCCTTGCCATAGCCACCGAAAAGGTAGAGAAACCTCCCACCTCTGATGGAATTGCAGGTGTGGCCCCACCGTTTCCCGGGGACATTCAATCCGAGCTGCGGAATTACTCCCCCGCCAGAATGGTACTGGGCGGGCTGCTGCTGCTGAAGCCTCTCCCACCTCATTTTCCCCTTATTATGTGGGGAAAGGAAGCCGCAAAAGGATCTGTTCAAAAGCGAGCGAGAGACAGATATCGGATATGGAATCGAATATATAACCTCGGAGCCTTCCGCCCGGCGGGTGACCAATGCGAGAGGCGCGGGGACACAGTGGTGGGAGGAGAAGACAATTTAAGTGGGGGTACAGAAATTTACGACGAAAAGAAAAGGTGTGTTTGTCCGTTCACAGTGTTCTCTTTGCATGCGAAGGAAACGGACGAAAACAAAATTTGAAGTAGGGATGGCAAAAGTATTCCTAATCTTCTTCAATCTAATTTAATTGAGTAGCCTAAAATTTGAATTTGAAGAATTTTTTATGGGTATGGATAAAACCCAAATCATAATATTGCAAGTCACGGATGGGCATAATTTTTAACCATCAAACTTAATGTGCCTACGCTACCTAAACCATCTATCTATATATATGGGTGGTTAACTAAAGGTATGACATACCTTAAGTAAGAAAATTATATCTAGATCTTGAATTAATCGGAGTTTGTCATCTGGTACTATTCCCATACCTTAAAGATTAAAATTTAGGTATTAATTATATAAATCTCACACATTAAGATCTGTTTAATTAGAAACAATAATTGATGGTCATGATTCGTCGAAATATATGCAACAAATTACACGCACAATCTTAGGGGTGTGATTCGGGTCCAATTGTACACATTTTACCTTGTTTCCCTCAGATGTTTGATGCAGTTTCACTCCGCGAGGTTCAATTTTAGCTAGGTTGTGTTTGTTTCTCGTATGTTTCAGATCCTAGCAAGTGGAATCGACCTCGGGAAAGAAAGTTGGATGAAAACAGATTAAAAGGAGCAAAAGATAAGGGTAATGGTGGAATCTAGAAGTTCACGGTCAGGCCAACCATGACAAAGAGGTTGGGATCATGAAGCGCAAGAAGTCGAGGGAAGCTTTTCATCCTCACGGGCCTACGAGGAATCACGGTCCGTCGACCGTGATAATCCACTCCAGACCGTGAAGAGCTTTAGTGAAACGACGCGCTTTTGTCCAGGATCACGATCTAGGCTTCGAGTTCAGGGTCGTGAACTGGAACTGTAAAAACTCGTCGATCTGGGTATAAAAGGGGAGTTCAACTGAAAGAAGAAGGGGAGAGCCTAGTGAGAGAACTTCTTCTTCCTCAGATTTCGAGAGAGAGAAAGTGACGAACAAGTGAAGAGAAGAAGGTTAGGGTCTTGTCCAAACTCCAAGATTTTGAAATCTCCTCCTCAAAGGTATCTTGACGCCAAAGAAAGAAGGAAAACATCTCAAGATGGTCTTTTCTCTTCTCCTTTGTGTATTCTATAGTCTTAGCATGAAGTAGTTCCCTTCTTTCACTTGTGTGTTTGTAAACATATTCGAGCCCAAATGTACACATTTTACCCCTCATTTCTTATTCGTTTAGCTTAGTATTTCATCGTTACTCGACATATTTCACGCTAAGTTGTGCTTGTTTTGATGCATTTTAGGTCCTAGCACGTGTGGAAGGGTCGAGATCGATTTTGGGGATAATTGGAGGTCAAAAAGTGCAAAAAACCAAAGAAAAGTCTGAAGTACCGTGACAATTGCCTCATAAAAGTGAAGTGAAGGCGTCCCAGGAAACAGCCGCAGTTAACGGCCGGACTAGGCAGTTCACGGTCTCCTGAGACCGTGAACTTCAACCACAAACCGTGAACACCGAGGTGTCTAGCGAGGTTCCCGAAGGTACTGACGACAAGGGCAACCCTCAACATTGAGTTAAGCAAATCGGTTAATTGTGATTAAGCCATCCGACCTTAGAGTTGGATGAAGGAGTAAGTCAACTACCGATTGTCTAAACCGATAGGGTCGAGTGACACGGCCTCTCATTCTTACCTCAGTTTAGCAATTGAGATTGTGGTCTCCGACCATATATGCATCCCTCTGCGGTTCGCGGTTACCTTGCCCCTAGCAATCGTTCCAATCCAACGAGTCTTGGTAGCTAGTTAGGGAGAAGCAACTCCTGGGTGAAGCTCCCTTAGTTAGAATTTTCCTTTATTTACTTTTCTTTGCTTGGTTAGTTTGTAGTTCCAATAAACCTAAACTCTAAAGTCGCTTGCTAGATAACAACCTAAGCGATTGAATTAGGGGTACATGGATCGCTCCGGGTTGACAAATTAAATACTTGCTCTATACTGCACCTGACTAGAGTTTCAAAACTTGGACTCTATTCGAGATTAATTTGTGGTGTAGTTTTTTGCTAGACAAGTTTTTGGCGCCGTTGCCAGGGAACCGCGGTCCATTATTTTGAAAAGGTCTCTTAGTGTTAATCTAGCATTTTCTATCTTGTCTTTTTGTTTGTGTTTTGTGTTGTGTTTTGTTTACCCACTCTTCGTCTTGAAGGGTGGTTTGTGTTTGTTTGATTTTCTTTTTGTGTTTTTGTTTTTGTAGGTTATGAATCATGGATCCCAATGACTTCTACAATAGGTGGGGGTATCCACAACCACCTGAATGGGGGTACCCCAGGGCTTCATTGAGTGAACAAGAAGGGGGAAGCCAAGGATCCGGGTTCTATTACCAACCCCCCTTCCAAGAAGAACAACCATACCAATGGGGGTACGAAGATGCTTCCCCATATCAAGAATATGCCCCTCAACAACCCAAGGAGAAATCCAAGTTGGAGTTGGCCATGAAGGCTTTGATGGGACAAACCTCAAGACCATGTGCCACTCCCCAACCAGAGTCAAAGAGCAAATGAGAGCTCATGGTGGAGCGATTTGTTCGGGGCACAAATGAAGGGTGCTCTAGCATGGACCTCCCAATCGCCAACCCTATCGACTCAACCCTTCTTAAGGAGGTGCAGGAGCTCCGTCAACGCACGGAGATGCAAAGAGAGCTTGTTGAGCAAGCATGTGCACAGCTTGCTCACAATCGCCTCCTACCATTGGAAGAAAGAGAGGAAGTCGAAGAGGCGAGCCATGAGAAATTTGGAAGAACGAGCTCCGGCATGGATTTCCAACCCCTCCCTCCTCCCGGTTTGACACTGGAAGAGAAAGTGGCACGAGCTTGTGAAAGCTATCGCCTATCATTATTGGAGGAGAAAGAGGAGGTTGAAGGAGCGATCAAGGACAACCGTGTGGAGCAAGAAGAACTCACCTCGGAGAGCTCCCGTGGTGAGGATGAACAAGAAGGTTGCATTGATGACTCCCATCACTTTACCCTTCCCGAAAGCAACATTGAAGACCAAGACACGAGTGTGGAGGAGCAAGAGAATCCCTTCTATGACCTTGTATTGCATTTTGCCCTCAAATTCGTGCTTGGAGACATGAATGGGATGGAGAAAGAAGAGGTTGAAGAGGAGGAAAAAAAGCATTGAAGAGAGGGAAGATCTTGAGTGTTCCCAAGGGGAGGAATAAAGTGAAGAAGGAAGGGAGGTTGAAGAAGAAGTTGAAGGGGCAAGTGGAGTCCAAAATGAGGACAAGGTCGTGGTGGATGAAGCATCCAAAAGTTACGAGGGCTGTGAAATCTTTCCATCCTACCTCGATGCGCTTCTTGAGAAGGACCCATTTGCGGCTCTTTGCCAAGCCAAGCCCAAATCATCCGCGATCCCTCTTGGTGGATGCGATGGTGGTAAAGCGGTGACGCAATACATGGTGCGGGGCAAAGAGAAAGAAGGAGAAGGAAAGAAGAAGAGGTCTCGTGGGTGGAGGCTCAAAGCCACTCAAGGTCACGAGCCCTCAATCATGGACTCGTCCAAAGCTCGTGACTTGAGACACCACCTCACCGACGAGAACCTCAACTTCAAGGAGGTTCTTGAGTGGACCGAAACTTGAAGTGCAACCGTCCGACTCACGACGTTAAGGAATCGTTTAGGGGGATGCAACCCATCTACCATCGATTTGTTTGCTTTCCCCTCCAATAAGAAGACCATTGAAGATATTTTGGTGGTGTTTTGGACGTGACCACGCTCTTTCGGAGCTGACCCGCCCTCCGCTCCCGAGCACAAACATTCACAACTTGACCGGTAACATCATTCTATCCCCTTCTTTTACGCCATTGAGGGCAATATTGACCTTAAGTGTGGGGGGTAGGCTTGGCAATTATACCCATACCCATGGGTTTATAACTATCCAACCCATTTGGGTTGGGTCTGAAATCCAATTAAAGTGTAAATGGATAAAGTCAGATGGGTCAATACCCATACCCATTATGTTGGGTTTAATTGGGTTTTACCCATAAATTTGGGTTAAAAAATCCAAACCCAAATAATTAAAAAAAGAAAAACGAAACTAAAAAGAAAAAGAAAATCTTCGTTTCCTCTCAGTCGAGAATCGAGAGTCGGCAGTAGGCACTCTCTTTCTTTCTACAAATCCTTCGTCGACGACGAGCCGGCTGAGCAAACAGAGACGGCCAGGACGTCGGCGCCCCGGCCAGTCCACCGCCACTAGCTCGAAGCCTCGAACGTCGCCGCCCCGGCCACCTCCGATTTCGGCATCCCCTCCGACCATTGAATCACATCGCCGTCGTGGCGCCGCCCAGTGATACAAAACCCACTCCGATTTCGTGACCCACCAGAGATACCAAAAACCCACTCCGCCGTCGATCTGTGACCCGAGAAGAAGTTGGTCGTCCTCTGAAACCGTCTCTTCCTCCCAAACTGATCTGTGTTCGTGCTACATCAGAGTGTAAGAATCACTTGTTCCATCTACAGAAGCAGTTAGAATTTTGAATTCTGCTTTAGCAATGAAGATGGTATGAAGCTGTGGCCTTTGTCCACTTGTGATAGTAGTATCCATCCACGTTTGTGGGTTTTTGTTAGTATTAGTTGCTTTCCTATCTTTTGTGTTTGGCTTTTGGTCATGCTCTGTAATCCATATACCTCCGTTGCTTTATCTCTTATAATCTATAATGGTTGTGTCAACTCCTTAACTATAGGAATCAGGAATCAAAGAGGGATATTGTGGTATCAATCAACTATCTTACTAGTTGAGGTTGTTTTGCCTTCACGGGCTTCTTTTATGGTTCTGCTTTATCAAGTTGTAGCTAACCAAGAATAGTGTGATGACTGGATTCTGGAAAGTTCAATTCAATGCTTAACTGAAAAGCATCCTTAACATAAAGTTGTTCACCTGATATTCTAAATCATTTCAGGTGACCATTTGACAAATGCATGGGTCTTGCCCGTCAGGAGCTCCAACAGCAACAGCTGTAGACGAAATACAGTTGGTCTATTTGTGATTTTCTC